AAAACCAAAACCAAAACTAAAATCAACCAAGATAAAATTCACCCCCACAACATTCAAAATATAAAACAACTCAAAATTTAATCACAAACATCACACAAAACTACTACTTCAATTAAATTAAGACGTCTCTATCGGATGATCGGGAATTCCTTGGAGGAGGTAACCTACGGTTGCTAACGAGACTTCCCACGGTCTAAATAAAATTATGGAACTCAATAAGTTGAGTTTAGTAAATTCATTTAGATTAAGTGAGTCCAATAGAAAAATAGTTGTGCAGGAACGAGGGAGCCGTAGGATCCTAACCGGTGTCGCTCGAATCAACTTTCACATACCCCCCATAAAATTTAAAGAACTTTAACCATAGGGCCACTTGGTTTGATATCATAACTTAACACATTAGAAAACTCAAACTCGTCACAACAAGGAGCTTGGAGCTAGCACGATGGGCAGCACGACTATCTTCAACAGCAAAACCTGTCTTCCTCAGCTAGACCAATCTTCCTTCCTTAGACATAAGCAACAAAGTCATAGGACTTCGAGATTACTTGCTTATGCAACATAAATCCTCATCTTATCTTTAGGCCTTCGTATAGCTCTGCTATACAATATAAGCCCTAAATTTTCTTAGGATTCCGAGGTTATCGTTTGTCACGACCTAACCCTCACATCTTCCAGGCTATTTGTGTGATAGTTTCACACGAATGTAGGCCCTAACTAATAAAATTGGCAGGATGAAACACCTAAATATTTATTCTCAAAACTGAAGCCAAATATTAGGATAGCTTGAGAAGTCACCGAGTTTCTCCTCTGAATCCATGACATCCCCTAGTTCTTCCTTCTTTGGACTCTACGAAAAAATGTTCCAAATTTGAACCAACCCCCTTTCACACCTCTACGTCCGATCTCATTGAAAAGTCCTACACTTTGAAACTCCTTGAAGATAATATTTTTTGATTTTTATCGAGAATCTTCTTAGGTGACCTTGGTCATTTAATATGTAATTAACTATAAGGGCTTGCCCTTCTAGGAAGCATGTCCGAACCCACCTTAATATAAACCCTATTTAATTCTTTATATTAAATAGGGAAACTTGTCGGCAAATATAAATGTTTAGCAGACAAAACGGATGCCATATATTCCTTACTTTATTTGATCGATGTCTCATCCTTAAGTCTTGTGTTTATTATTCGAGATAGATGCATGATTTGAAGTACATTTCTCTTTCATTTAAACTATGAAGAAAATATGGGGTCAGTTTGATTTCATATTTTTCTAAAACTAAACATATATGTAAATTAAAACGTCCTTCTGAATCCGGCGACGAGATTTTGATTCTGGTGACCGATAGCTTCTTATGGGCAACTCTCCAACCAAAAATACCGCCGACAACTATGTAGGTGCCCTATGATAAAATAACCCGTAGTTACTACTAAAGTCACTCAAAACACCTAATAGTTAAGAAGACCTATATTCATAATTGATATGGTGATAGTGGAAATATCTTTCTATCTTATTGGTTAATGATCTAAGACAATGGATTAAACTAAAACAATGAAAATGTGCAGACACCTTGATCTGGGGAATAATACCATAAATTTAGATTAATTCACCAATTTAGCTTCTTTATATAGCTGATCTTATCTTCTATCTATAAATCTTTTCAAACCTTCAAATCAAACCTTTTAAATCCAACCTTTTAAAATCAATCAACCCTTTGAAATCAAACCCTTAACTCATGTTCTTGGAATTAATCCTTTTTAACTTAAATATTTAAAATCAAACTTTTGAAATTAGGTTCCTCAAATTAAATCCTTTAAATTAAATCTTCCACTTGAATCAACTCTTTCAAATCAAATCCTTAAATCAAATATTTAAAATCAAGCTTTTCACATTGAATCAATCAAATATGACATTTCAAATCAAACCTATTTCTTTAATAACTGCCCAAGTTCAAATCCTTAGGATATACCTTCTTCCTTAAGTTGGTTAATCCCCTTCCTAGGTCTTTCCAAGACACAATGTCATCGGATTGTAAGTCCCAATCTTTGAATTCCAAAAAAATATTTTCAAACCCTAAAAGTCTCTAATTTAGAAATTTCTTCAAACTTTAATCTTTTCATTTAAAAATACCATCCTTGAAATCCTTCATGATATAAGAGAATAATTTAATTAAGAATTTTTGTCTTAGAGGTTCATAAATCTTGAGATGTAATTAACTATGAGGGATTGTTCTTGTAAGGATAACATACCATAGAATAAAATAAATCTCATGTTACACTTGTAAGGTATGAAAAGAAAAAATTTTCATTAATGTAGACCCATAAATCTTATCTATTTTACTCATCAAAATGATTAGATCTATTTAAATGTAATATTTCTACATCTCGGGGTATTATATTATTCTTAAAATGTTGCATTCAATTATTTAGATCGAAATTCATGATTTATGATAAACATGTCAACATCACAAAAAAAAAAATTTCAAACATATAGTTTATCAGAATATTAATGCCTTTATGGACGTTTAAATAAAATTTACTTTGACTTTAAGAAGAAGAGCAAATCATAGAACTTTCAAGTGAAAATTTTTAATACTTATTGTTGACCTCACTTTTGGTTGAGGTC